CTCCCTTTGTACCAGAGAAGAAGTCTGAATTATTATGGTATTAAAAGATAAAATATGTTAATGTTATACAATACTATACACATATCTTATGCATTTCTGAGTTTCCAGACTTTTTCTGTCATCTACTGGCCTTTGCGTGTCATCTGTGGCTTCCACAAAACTCCCCCCAAATTCCCATTTAATTTCTTATTGCCGGCACCGGCAATATATCGAAACCACGAAGGGGAAAATGGGGAGGCATAGACTCAGCAAGGGTGTTTGCTGTGGTCACAAAGGAGATCCATGGAGTCTAAGGCAAAGAGGGCTTCCCTAAGGATGGTGACATCCTTGAGGGGCTCATTGCAGAATCTTCTGTACTAGGTCCAGAAGCCCTCAAGAATGTGGCCTAATTACACACAAAGGAAAAGATGAAAAATACCTATTATTGAGATGATAACATGCCTTTAAATGGACAGCTTATCATGCTCACCAATACTACAAACACACCATAAGTTGTGTCCTGAATTAAATAGAAGAAGGAAACTGGACTGACTTGCCTTTGGGAAATTATAGTTTCTTTAATGATACTGAACTTCTCCTGGAAACCCAAGGCTCATCTCTTTTTATATCAATATTCTACTGATGTTGATTTATGGATATGAGACATGCAGCAGAGGGCAGTCTCAAAAGAACAAAGAGTATCAGAGTCACAAAGAACCTTAAACTGAGAGAATATGAACAAATCCAGAATGTAGAATGTCAGAGCTGAAAGGAGACTTGGCATACATCATATCAGAGCTGGGCGGGACCTTAGGTCACAGGAGATCAGAGCTGAGAGGGACCTTAACACAGAATGCTAGAACCAAGAGTGACCCAAGGCCATAAGATGTAAAAGAGCTGGGATAGTGCTTAGAACCCAGAATGTCAGGGCCTGGTGTGACCTGGGAACACAGAATTTCATATGTGGATGGGACGTTACAGATCATATAGCCCACCTTCTTTACTTTACAGAGACTAAGTCTCAGAGATGGGAAGGATCCAGTCACAGAGTATAATGGAAAATCCATAAATCAGTCAACACCCATTTACTGAGCACTTACAATGCCCAGGAGCCTACATTATCTGTTATGGGGGACACAAAGATGAGTAAGATCTAATCCCTGCCCCCAAGGAGCTTACAGTCTAGCTGAGGAGTGGAGATAAATTTGTGAAAAGATTAGCATAACTTCATCAACAATATTTCCTTCAATACTTTAAAAGAAGTTTCTTAATACAGGCACAGTGTAAGGTCCTTGAGGGCAGAGATTTATTTTTGTGCCTTTGCCCAATGTCTAGCACTGTACTTGACATGGAATAGAAACTTAATAAATGCTTTTTGATTGATTGATTCACTAATCGATGAGTACCCTTTTCATCAATGCCAATGCAGACCACAAAACCTCACCCCACCATCTTTGACAGTGATTGTGGCAGAAAATATTCACGTCTGGGTCATCCCAACATCCGTGGGATGATTTCCGACATCCTGAGATGGGCCCATTGTTGTCAGATTCCCCAAACTTTCTTAGCTTGGGAGCACCTGCTAACTTTTCAGTTTTTATGGCCCAAGAGATCCCAGGGTCATATCTGGGAGGCATTGGAAGAAGACTTTAGTGGAGAAGTAATGATTACTGATACCAGTATATTGATTAATATGAGTTTACTCCAGAAGATTGACCAGTGGGTGACAAGGGTTGTTTTTGGCTTAAGCAATACACGAAGGAAGAGATCGTAGTGAAGGGAGAAAACACAACAATGACACGTCTCCTTGGAGTGTTTAATCTGTTCTCTGAAGTATCATGCCAAGTGCTTTTAGGTTTATGAAATGCTTTCCTCTTAATGTCCCTATGAGATAGGTACTTCAGATCTTATACCCATTTTATGGATGATAAGTTATATAGCTTGCTCAAGGTAATCAAACTGGTAAATGTGATAAGAGCTCAAACCCAGATCTTGAGACTTCAGTTTCCTTCTATTCCATTCAGTTATCAGTTATTGAATTAGGGACTAAAACTAACACCTGGGCTTGTTGGGTTATTGCCTCTCATGTTTTTATTGAGTCGTTTCAGTTGTGTCTGAATCTTTGTGACCCCATTTGGGGTTTTCTTGGCAAAGATACTGGAGTAGTTTGCCATTTCTTTCTCCAGCCCATTTTACAGATGAGGAAACTGAGGCCAACAGGGTAAAGTGACTTGCCCAAGGTCACACAGCCAGCAAGTGTCTGAGGCTGGATTTGAACTCAGATCTTCTTGACTCCATGCCTGGCACTCTACCCACTGCACCACCTAGCTGCCCATCTCATACAGTGAGAGCTAGAAAGTAGCTAGTAGAATGGGGCCAAGCTTTTGGGAACATTCCCTGACTCCTTGTGTAGCCCTGCCTGGGAGGAAGTGTAGAACATGAGCAGAGTGTTTCTACACTGACATTTGGAGTTAGAGGACATGGATTCAAATCTCAGCTCTGCCACTTCTCTGTGCGACTATGGGTAAGTCACACAGCCCTGAGAGGGACACTCTGCAGCCCTGTTTCCTTATCTACAAAGTAGTGGGCTTAGACTGTATGATATTCTCAGAGGTCCCCTCTAGCTCTAATGTTTATTGGGATTCATAAGAATATTAAGGACAAAAATGAAAAGGCAAAGAACAGCAAGGTTTCCAAGGTGGGATGAATGATGTCAGTTCCCTTGCATCATTCCCTAATCTAGTCTGTATTGGCCATGGACCCATAAGTTTGGTCTGTAACAATGTGGCACAGTTATTCAATCAATCAACAAACATTTATTAATCACCAATAGGTGCTGGGCACAATACTAGAAGTGGGAGAAATAAGGGCAAAGATTAAATTATCTCCATCCTTGAGGATAGGGGCCACTAGGTGGTGCTGCAGTGGATAGAACAATGGACCTGGAATCAGGAAGATTCATCTTCCTGAGTTCCAATCTGGCCTCAGACACTCACTAGTTGTGTGACCCTGCGCAAGTCACTTCCCCCTGTTTGCCTATTTCCTCACCTATAAAATGAGCTGGAGAAGGAAATGGCAAACCAGTCCAGTATCTTTGCCAAGAAAATACCAAACGGAGTTATGAAGAGTCAGACATGAATGAAAAACAACAACAATCTTTGAGGAGCTTATGGAAGATAACATGTATATATGGGGAGAGAGACTAGACTTGTGACTTCATTGCTGCTAGGGACTCCCAGAAGAGGAAACTCTACAGTGGCAGATAGACACCCTTTCTGCAACTTACAGTCTTAGTTGCTTAAGACATGGAGAGGTTTAAATAACTTGCCCAGGGTCACACAGTTTGTATATACAAGATATATAAGATATGTACCATAAGAATATACAAGATATATTGAAATAAACCTGGGATGATTTGGGGGGTAGGAACTAGAAGCTGAGGTGATCAGAATTGAGTTCAGGTAGAAGGTGGCATTTGAGCTAAGCTTTGAAGGAAACTCAGAATCATAAGAGGTGGAGGAGAGGAAAGGAGAGGGTTGTATCTTGCTTTAGATGCCATGCCTTGTCATGGCAATGGGAGATGAGAGATGGAACACAATATGGGAGAAGTAGCAATGAGACCGTGTGGAAGTGTGGGAAGGAAAGTGACTTCTAATGATCCTGGAGAGGTAGATGAGAGCCAGACTGTGAAGAGCTTTAAATGCCAAACAGAGGAGTTTGCATTGGATCTTAGAGTCAATAGAGAGTCGCCGGGGTTTATTGACCAAAAGAGCAACACAGTGAGCCCCAGGCTTTGGGAATATCACTTTGGTAGGCACGTGAAGGATGGGTTGGATCCAGAGAAAGACCTGAGACAGCAAGACCAATCAGGACACTGTGGAGATGTTCCAGGTGAAAGGGGATGAGGAGTGGGTGTGTGAGCCACTATGAGAAGGGGGCCCAAGTGAGGGATGATGGGTAAGGCTCAAGTGAGGGATGATGGATAGGGCCCAAGTGAGGGATGATGGATAAGGCTCAAGTGAGGGATGATGGGTAGGGCCCAAGTGAGGTGATAGGTAGGGCCCAAGTGAGGGATGATGAGTAGAGTCCATATGAGGGATGATGGGTAGAGCCCAAGTGAAGGATGATGGGTAGGGCCCAAGTGAAGTGATAGGTATGGCTCATGAGGGATAGGGCCCAAGTGAAGGATGATGGGTAAGGCTCAAGTAAGGGATGATGGATAGGGCCCAAGTGAGGGATGATGGGTAGGGCCCAAGTGAGGTGATAGGTAGGGCTCAAGTGAGGTGATAAGTAGGGCCCAAGTGAGGGATGATGAGTAGAGTCCATGTGAGGGATGATGGGTAGAGCCCAAGTGAAGGATGATGGGTAGGGCCCAAGTGAAGTGATAGGTATGGCCCATGAGGGATAGGGCCCAAGTGAAGGATGATGGGTAAGGCTCAAGTGAGGGATGATGGATAGGGCCCAAGTGAGTGATGATGGGTAGGGTCCAAGTGAGGGATGATGGGTAGGGCCCAAGTGAAGTGATAGGTATGGCCCAAGTGAGGTGATAGGTAGGGCCCAAGTGAGGGATGATGAGTAGAGTCCATGTGAGGGATGATGGGTAGAGCCCAAGTGAAGGATGATGGGTAGGGCCCAAGTGAAGTGATAGGTATGGCTCATGAGGGATAGGGCCCAAGTGAAGGATGATGGGTAAGGCTCAAGTAAGGGATGATGGATAGGGCCCAAGTGAGGGATGATGGGTAGGGCCCAAGTGAGGTGATAGGTAGGGCTCAAGTGAGGTGATAAGTAGGGCCCAAGTGAGGGATGATGAGTAGAGTCCATGTGAGGGATGATGGGTAGAGCCCAAGTGAAGGATGATGGGTAGGGCCCAAGTGAAGTGATAGGTATGGCCATGAGGGATAGGGCCCAAGTGAAGGATGATGGGTAAGGCCCAAGTGAGGGATGATGGATAGGGCCCAAGTGAGTGATGATGGGTAGGGTCCAAGTGAGGATGATGGGTAGGGCCCAAGTGAAGTGATAGGTATGGCCCAAGTGAGGTGATAGGTAGGGCCCAAGTGAGGGATGATGAGTAGAGTCCATGTGAGGGATGATGGGTAGAGCCCAAGTGAAGGATGATGGGTAGGGCCCAAGTGAAGTGATAGGTATGGCCCATGAGGGATAGGGCCCAAGTGAGGAATGATGGGTAGGGCCCAAGTGAGGAATGATGAGTAGAGTCCACATGAGGAATGAGTAGGACCCAAATGAGGGATGATAGGTAGGGCCCATGAGGGATGATGGGTAGGGCCCAAGTGAAGGATGATGGGTAGGGCCCAAATGAGGGATGATGGGTAGGCTTGAATGAGGGGTGATGGGTGGTACCCGAGTGAGGGATGATGGGTAGGGTTCAAGTGAGGGATGATGGGTAGGGCCCAAGTAAGGGATGGTGGAAAACCCTTGGCAAATGAATGGATATAGAGGGTGAAGGCAAGTCAGAAGTCTAGGATGACACTGTGGTTGTGAACTTAGATGACAATGCCCTCAATAGCAACAGGGGATTTAGGAAGAGTAACTGGGCCCATATACAATACCAACAGCTCTCTGGCGTCCTAAGGACACATTAATGAAATAATCTAGCAACAAACATTTATTAAGTGCCTACTATATTCCAGGTACAGTAACAAAAGCAAAACAGTCTCTGCCCTCAGGGAGCTTCCATTCTAACAAAGAATGAGTAGGAATGATAAGAACAATGTTAACTCCTGCTTCTTCTAGTAAACTTCTAGTTTACATACTTTAATCTTGCCTTCAGAAGTAGGTGAGGTAGGGATTGTTGTTTCCATTTGACAACTGGAGAAGTTGTACCTTAAGGAGAAATGACTCTAGCAAGGTAACACAGATGTAGAACCAAGGACTGGACTTGGGTTAACTCCAAATCCATCTCCCCCCTCCCACCCCAATGTGGGGCACCATTGGGATTGCACAACCTTTACAAAGGGCCCAGCCCCACAAAGCCAGGTCATGAGACAGAGTGTTCCTGGGGCTTGGGCCCTCCCTCTTTCCTCCCTCTTGGGACAAGGTATATGCCCTATGTCCCTCTGGGTAGTCTATATCTGGGCCACAAAGCTCTGTGACCTAACCAATGTCCAAAGAGGCCTCTAGCTCCTTAGAAGCCTTGAATTATTAACAGCAAATTTGTATCTAGTGCTCTACAAATTACAAAGCACTTTACATAAATTGTCTCATCGGTTCCTCACCAGAACCTAATCACTAGATGCTTCAACTGAGGGTGCAAGGGACTTACCCAGGGTCATGCAGCTAGGGAGTAGCAGAATTGGGGCTCAAGCTTAGCTTTCCTGACTCCCCCTGCTCTTACAGTCTCTGAGGAGCTTACTCCAGCCATTTCCCAAATACCCTGGGTCAAGCTGAAAGCACCACCCACAGCTGTCCCCTTGATCCACTTGGCATCTGTTCTCCGGAGGTCTGGGTCTGGAAATCCAAAGCTGGCAGGGACAGTCCATCGGTCAGCCACTCTGCCCCAGTCCAGGGTTGCTAGGCAAATGTCTCACTTGGGGTATTTGACAAACTGACACTCTACCACACGGAGTGTCCGACTCAGCTTGTCAAATACACGGAGTGTGGCACTGCGGGCCTGTGGTCAGAGGAGAGGCCGGGGAGCTGGAGGCACGGGGCAGCCCTAGAGGAGAAAGAGAGACGGACAGACAGACAGACAGGCAGACAGACGTAGACCGACAGACAGATGCACAAACACAGAAAAACTGAGGCAGGCTCAGGCACAGACAGGAACAGAGAGACAGAAAAGAAGAAAAAGAGAATGAGATGGAGAGGAGGAGAGAGAGAACAAAGGATCATAGAGTGAAATGGACCCCAGAAGCTCTCTAGTCTAACCCCCTCATTTTACAGAGGAGGAAACTGAGGCCCCAGTGAGGAAAATGGACACACTGGTGGTAGAATGAGATTTTGAGCCTGGGGTAAAGACACAGCTGGAATGGGGGGAGAGAGAGAGAAAGAGAGAGAGAGAGAGAGAGAGAGAGAGAGAGAGAGAGAGAGAGAGAGAGAGAGAGAGAGAGAGAGGAAGAGAGAGAGAAAGGGAGCGTGTTCTAGCCCAAGTACAACCTTGCATTGCAGATGAGGGGGCAGCTTTCTTGGGTCTTGGGCCTTGAATCCTCCGCTCCATGCCTCAATGGACCCCTCTGTACAGTAGAAAGAGGACTGTGTGGTTATGCCCCCACCTTGTGAGATAGCACCCTTCTAAGCACCACTTACCCTCCACCCTTACCCCGGTAAGAAGAAAGCGCTTCTGCTCCTTCCCCTGCCCCTGCCAGACTGCATTCTCAAGGGCCGAGGGAGTCTTTCCAGCATAAACAATTGGGTCTAAGGTCCTGCCCAGCTCTCACACCCTGCAAGCCTGCGGATAATTTTCCAAAGCGCTGCCCCCTTCGGGGATCTGGTTGGATCTTCACAGCCACCCTGGGAGGTAGGAAGGGGAAACCTCGAAGTCCAAGGAGGGAGGGGAGAGATGGTGACAGAGAGGAACAGAGGAAGGGCACCAAGACATCGTGTGACGACCGAGGGAGATAGTTTCTTCTCCAGATTGCTAAACATGGTTTGATGGGGGTGGGGGAAAGGGGAACTAAAATGAATCTCTTCCCCTCCTCTCTCCTCTACCCATTAATTCATCTGTCCAGGCCTGTGGAAGGCTAGGTGAAGAAGGGGAAAGAGTAGGAGAAACTGAGGCCAGTGCTAGGAGGTAGCCTGAAATGCAAGTCCTTAGCAAAGGACTCTCTTGTTCTGCCCCACCCTGAAGGCCAGGAGTAATTCCTGCCCACCCCACTCCCACATATGTGCACTGCCACCTGCTCAGCCTGCTGCAGGGGGATAGACAAACTGACCATTGGAGAGCCCTCATGGCTATAAGATTTGGCTTCTAAAATTCATGTTCGTGTAACTTACAGACTGGAATGTCAGAGCTGGGAGGGGCGTTTGAGGTCTTGTCATCCCACCCCCTCCAATTTCCACAGGAGAATGCTGAGGCCCAGAAAGGAGCAAATGCTTGGCCAGAGCGTCACAGCTTCAGTGGGATCTGTCCTGGGAAGCAGGGCCAGGCCATGAGAATATGGGTCCCAGGAGCCATCTAAGCCATCTTTGATTGGGGGTGGAGGACTGGCAGAAAAGGCACCTCCCGGGGGGCGACAGGGGTGATTAGATGGGTAGTTACCTGAAACCCCTTGGGAATCCAGGGAATGGAGCGATGGCTGGGAGAGCCACGAGGCCACTCACTGGAGGCAACCTATGGAGAGCTGGGGAATTCTGGGGTGGGGTAGAAGGCCTTGCTGGTCTCTAAAGCCAATGAAGAGGTGAAGGGCCTCCAGGTTCATTGAAACAAGTCCCCGAGAAGTTCTCAGAGGTGGGGACCAAAGTCATAGCACAGAGAGTAAACCTGGTAAACAACAAATCCTGGAAAGTATAAGCAGGTCCTATCCTACCCCCAGCCCTACTCCCAACACTATTTGGAAACTTGGGAAATCTCTCGGAGCCCAAAGTGACCCTGAAATTGTCCCTTGACTTCATGCCTCCAGTTGACGGTGGGCCAAAAGGCTCCCTCCTGGAAAATCAGCTTTGCCTCCCTTAACCCCTCAGTGCACATGCTTTCTAGGCCTCCTACTGCCCTTGGACGCAACCTAAGTACTCAGAGCCCCCTCTTTCTAACTTCCCTCCCATTCTTTCACTCCCTCCCTTCTCAGGTCCTGTGCTTCTGACATGTCTCCCACACTGCCTCTGCCTTTCAAAACGTCCTCAATCCCTGGGCTCCTCAGGACCCTGCACTCTGTTATCTAATCTCAGAGCCTAATTCATCAGAAGGCTTTGGTAGTTGATTATTTTATATTCTTTCCCTCCCACATAGAATATCAGTATTACCACAAGGCCCTTCTAGAGACAACGTTGTGACCTCCAGGGATGTTTGTAGGATTTCAAGATAGAAAGACCTTGGCAATACTAGTCAGCCTCTCCAGGCCTCAGTTTCCCCATCTGTAAAATGAGGGGGTTGGACTCAATGCTCTCTGAGGTCCCTTTCAGTTCAAAAGCTATGATACTAAAACCCTCATCATACAGAGGAAGAAAGTGAGACTCATGGAAGCTGTGACTTGCCTAAGGTCACACCCATAGTAAATGAGAAAGCTGGGACCCAACCTCAACTTGTCTGATCCCAAATCCAGTACTCATCCCAGACTCACTCTACTCCAGACTGCCTTGACTCTAGCACCAGGGTCTGGGGGACCTTGATGGGCTAATAGGGGCAAGGTTTGGGCCCAGTCGCCTGGCAGCTACCCCCTCCATGTAGGAGTAGTCTACGCCAGAGGACTTGATCTACCATTTTTATCCTGTACTCTCCCAAGGGAGCAGCTCCAAACAGAGTCCAATGGGCCAGGTTAGGTTGGAAGCATTTCCTCCTTCCCTGGCCCTCAGGGACTCCAAGATAGAAAGAAGTCTCTTTCAGTCCTATATACCCCCTTCCAGCAAACCTCAGGTAGGATCAAGGGCAAAGGATGAAGGTAGGGCCCCCACCTACTCCCAGCACAGGTGAAGTCACAGGACTCAAGGCCATTGTTCTACTTAATGGCTTCTCCATCTTGACCAAGTAACTTCCCCTCCCTGGGGAAGTTTCCCTCTCTGTAAAATAAAGGGAGCTGGAACAGATTGCCTCCGAGGTCCCTTCCGGCTCTACTCTAGGAGCCTAGGGTCCTATGACTCCAACGGATGTTTCTCTAGGCAGATTCCCCCTTTGCAATCCCCCACCACCCTCCTCTGCACCGGTCTGGAAGTAGAATCACAACCCACCCCATTACCTTCGTCTGCCCCAGTCTAGGAGATTCAGCCAGATACTGTACCTGAAGTAGTGAGGGACGGAAGAGTAGAAGCTGGAGGTAAGGGACAGCCCACGGCTTGCCAGGAGAAGCTCCAGGAACCAGGGAGAGCCAGGCACTGAGGCTGCAGACTGGAAGGTTGGGGATTTTGAAGGGCCCCTGGGCTCCTGCAAGAGGAAGCCCAAAGCAGGAAGATAAGGCTGAGGTCGGCCAACGGAAATCTGGATGGGTCATGACAAAACTCCCCGGTTGTGAAACTCCCCCCTTCCCCCCCCTTCCCTCCCTAACCCGCTTCCCGCCTGCTCCAGAAGCTGCTGTGGACTCTGGCTTTTGGCTTCCCTGGGGTAGCTGGCTCTTCCCCTCCCCTGCCCCCCTCGCCTATGGGCCAAGGCTTGAAGTCCAGTGGCACACACCAGCCAGGGTTTCCTCTCTGGTTCTTGAGGGGCCCTGAAAGATTCTCAGTAAAGCTGTACTCACTAGATGAGAGACAGCAGAGCATGGCAGAAAGAGGATTGGCTTTGGAATTAGGAGACCTGGAGTCAAATTCTAGTTCTGGTGTTTATGATCTGGGTGACCTTGGACAAGTCCCTTCCCCTCCCTGCTCCTCAGTGTAAAATAAAAGGGTTGGACTGGTCCTCTGAGAGGTCATTTCCAGCTCTGGTTCTAGTCTGAAGCTGAATTCCACTCTTATCATGATCTGATCTAGCCCCTGGGCCTTGAGCCCCAAGCCCTGACACCCATCCTCTGCTAGGTAGGGCCGCTAGGCTAGGACTGATGCTGTTACCGGGGAGGCCAGGGCAATGCGGGGAGGGACCACAAAGTGGAGGAGGCTGCTGTTCTGGTGGATGGGCCGATTGGGGTGCCATGGCAGGAAACACTTCTCAGCCATGGGCAATGTCCCCAAAGCAGAGGCCAGGTGACCACTTTGCAGTGACATTGAAGAGTGGATCCCTAGGATGGAAGTCCTTAGCCTCATTGCCTTCCAACTGTGGATTTTCAAGGCCCAGCTTCCCTTGCTCTGAAGGCTGCAGCCTAAGGCTTTCTAGGCCTTCCATAACCTTCCTCCTACTTTCACCCCTGAGCCAGGCCAGCTCATGGCAGTGGAGAGGGAGGGACAGGAACAGGGACAGGGACTTTGTCTTGTTAGCTGTCTCCTGCCCTCAAGAGAAGCTGTCAGGCTCAGAGAGGGGCCCCAGTGGAGGGGCCACTAATGGAGGGGCCACCAATGGAGAGACCATCAATGGGGGGGCCAGCAATGGAGAGGCCACCAATGGAGGGGCCACCCAAAGCCTTAGGGGCAGCTTGAAGCAATTAAAGCTTAAAACTTCACTAAAAGACCTTCAAGATACCCTGTATAAGTGTATTGTACATATGTGTGTATATATGTGTGTGCATGTGTGTGTGTGTGTGTGTGTGTGTGTGTGTGTGTGTGTACAGAGGACATTGTTATTGGGATTTTCTTGGCAGAGATACTGGAGTGGTTTTCCGTTCCTTCACCAGCTCATGTTATAGATAAGGAAACTGAGGCAAACAGGATTAAGTGACTTGCCCAGGGTCACATAGCTAGTAAGTGTCTATGTATGCATATATGTGTGTATGTGTATATATTAATATATATTGTGTATATATGCAAAAAGTTGCCTCATTACACATGTGTGCATGGAGGGCTACATATGTGTGTATATATATATATATATATGTGTGTGTGTGTGTGTGTGTGTGTGTGTATACATATAAGATGAGATAGCCCTCTTTATATACATGTGTGTATATAGAGGTCTGTGTGTATATACATATGTGTGCATCTATATATAGATATACACACACATTAAATGTGTCAACCCTCTATATACACATATAGAAATGTGCATACACAATATATATATATATATATATATATATATATATATATACATACACATATATGCACAATGAGGCAGGCCTCTATATACACATGTGTGTGTGTATGTATACACAGAGCTGCCTTATTTTTTATGTGTGTGTGTTTACAGAAGGCTACCTCATTATATGTAATATCTAAATATTATATGTACATACACACACACATAAAATATCAACTGAGACTCACAACAACCCTGTGAAGTTGGTTCTGTTTTACAGGTGTCCATTTTAGAGATGAGGAAACTGAGGCTGAGAGTAGCCAGGATTACAAAGTCCTGGAGGTGAGATTTAAACTCCGGATTTCCTGACTCTACCGTCTCCACCACCTGCCTGCCTCCAGCACTGAGGAATTCTGACTTTGGGATCCACAAGCTTGTTTTATTTAAAATCTTTTCAGTAGCCACATTTCCATTTAATTGGTTTCCTTTGTAATCCTCTAGATTTGATTTTAGGTAGTTCAGATTGTGATTGGGAGGAGAAGTCTGTAGATTTCCCCCAGCCTGGCTGACCAAGGGGTCTTTGGTACAGAGAAGGTTCAGAAGCAGATGAAGATGTCAGCAGTGGGCTTCACTTCCCCTCAGACCCCAACCCCCTCTCCATCTGCCCCTCTTCCCTCCATCCAGCACTTCAGCCTCTCACTTCTCAGCCTATGACCTCCAGCAGCTCACCTGGCCTCATCCCCCCCTCTCTCTAATTACCTGGCCTCTTTCCCCACTCCATCACTGTCTGTGCCCTACAGACACACTCCAGTCTTTAAAAACCTTTATTTGACCCTATCTCTCTTCAAACTACTGTCCTATTTCCCTCCTTTTTCATACCAAACTCCTAGAAAAAACCAACTGATTCTATTCATTGCTTCATCTCTCTTCCTTCTCACCCTGCACCTCTTGCTCTCTGACTTCTGACCACCACAGGACAGAAACTGCTCTCTCTGAAGTCACCAATGATCTCTTGATTGTTCGATCCAATGGCTTCATCCTCATCCTTCATCCTCATCCTTCTTGGCCTCTCAACCTTCAACACTATTGACCACCTCCACCTTCTCTGGGTTTTTGTGACATTGTTCTCCCCCGGTTCTCCTCCTCTGTGTCTGACCACTCGTCTTTTTGTCATCCATGTGCCACTCCTTTACTGTGGGGGCACACCCAAGATCCATCCTGGAGAGGTCCTCTTCCCCTTCCACCTTGGCTCCTAGTGGCCTGGATCAGTTCTCTCATGGATTGAATTCTTATCTTTCTGCATATGATGCCCAGATCCGTTTATCAGCCCTAGACTGTCTCTTGAGCTCTGGTTCCACATCACCAACTGTCCCTTGGATGTTTTGAACTGGCTGTCCCATAGGCATCTCAAACTCAAGATGTCTAAAAGAGACCTCTTTCTCTCCCTCCTCCCCAAGCCACCACTTCACTAACTTCCCCTTTTCTATCCAGGGCATCGCCATTACAATGTGATTCTCGAGAGTAGGAACTGTTACCTTTTTTATGTTTGTATGCCTAGATGCTAACACAGTGCTTAATAAACATTGACTGATTGCTTGCTTGATTCCAGCCACCCCACATTTACAATCTCCATATTCCTCCCTAGTCCTCACTCTTCCTCATCCCCCTGAGCCATTTAGTTGCCAAATATAACATCTTTCAACTAAGTCCCCTTCTCTGTACTTCCACGGGCCCTGGTTTAGACCTTCATTGCCTCTTGACTGTATTTGCAATGGCCTCCTAATGTGTCTCCTTGCATCCAGCTTCTCCCCTTCTCTGGGGTCCAGTCCTGGCACCTAGTCTACCATGGCTATGAGCAGGAGTCCCTTCAACAACAATATCCCCAGCAAATGGCCAGCCAGCCTGTGCATAAAGGTTTTACATGAAGGGAAGGTACCAGGGCAGCCCATTTTGCTTTGGGATTGCTCAAACCAGGAGTGGGGAAGCTGTAGCCTCAAGGCCACATGTGGCCCTCTAGGTCCTCGAGTGGGGCCCTTTGACTGAATCCAAACTTCACAGAATGAATCCCCTTAAGAAAAGGATTTGTTCTGTAAAACTCGGACTCAGTCAAAAGGCCACACCCAAGACCTAGAAGGCCACGTGTGGCCTCGAGGCTGCAGGCTCCCCACCTCTGGCTCAAACTATGAGCAAATTTCCCTTTAAATTAAACTGAACTCTACCTGCCCTCTGGTGCCAAGTAGAACAAGGCGAATCCCTTTGGCTGCCCTGCAAATATCTGAAGGCATGAAGACAACCAATCGAGTCTTCTCTACCCCAGACTAAATCTCCCCAGTTCCTTCACCTGATTCTCACATGGCCGGCCTGCTTTCCAGTTCCCTCCCCATCTTGGCTACTCTCCCCCAGTGGGGCCCAAATTGGTTCCTGTTTCATTATATTTTCTGACTAAACCCTGGAGGCTTCTGGGAATTTTGGGGGGAGTTTTCTTGTTGTTTTTGTCATTTTTGTTTGTTTGTTTGTTTTTAGCTAGGCATCTACCTTCCCAATAGGAAGGTCCAAATACAGCCCCCCCTTCCTTTTTAGAGATTGGAGTAAGGTAAGCTACCCTCCAGCCTTGCTTTCCATCCCTTCCCTCCCTTCCCAAGTAAACTGCTGTATTTAGTTTTTAGCAGGGGCTTTGTGGGGACAAGGTTGTCACAAGTCAACAACAATCCTAATAACTCAAATTTCTAGGGAATTTGAAGGCTGACAAAGTGCATTTTTCAATCTGACAGCCATCTATTAAGGCCTGTCTATGGGTAAAGCCCTTGGCTAGACATCAGGGATACCAGGCATGATCTCACGCAAATATTTCCTTTGGAGAGCTTAGAATCTAATACCAGAGAAAGACATGGGAATGATTCCCATTTCTTGAGCATTATAAAGTTTGCAAAGTGCTTTTGTCAAAAGACAATTTGTACAAAATGGAAAGAAAAGATATGGGAGTGGGGTTGGGCGTCTGGTCCTATAATTTTGTTGGTATAAGGAACTCCCTATGTGAAAGCTCCCTCTACCTTCAGAGACCAGCAAACACCCTACCGCTGATAGCCTTAGAAAGTTAACCAGATGGGGCAGCTAGGTGGCACAGTGGATAGAGCACTGGCCCTGGAGTCAGGAGGACCTGAGTTCAAATCTTGCCCCAGACACTTGACACTCACTAGCTGTGTGACCCTGGGCAAGTCACTTAACCCCATTGCCTAGTCAAAAAAAAAAAAAAGATACCCAGAGTCACACAACCAGGATGTGTTGGTGGCCAGACTTGAACCCAGGTGTGAGGCCAGCCCTCTATGCCATTCTTTAAAGCTTATTATATCCCTTTTACAGATGAGAGAAGCACTGTGGAATAGACCAGGCTTAGAGATAGAAAGGCCTAGGCTCAAATTTTGCCTTGGACGCTTGCTAGCTGTGTGACCTTGGGTAAGTCATTGAATCTCCAAATGTCTCAGGCACCTCCTGAGCTATAGAGAGTTGGGACAAACCCCCAGATCTTTGTGCACAGATGAAGTAACTGTTTAGAGGTCAAACAATCCCCAGAGTGGAAATTGGCAGTTTGATGTTGTACGATCTCTTTTTTTGTGTGTGTGTCAGCGGCCTTGGGATGTTTGTGTTGCTTTGGAGGTCCTGAGGCCCCGGGCCGGTTTGTTATTTGCTTCTGTTTAAAAGAGGAGACCAAAGGTGGGCAAAGTTTAGAAGCTTTCTGATTTGGCTTACTTATTAAGCTTGACTGACTCATCATTTGAAGCTTTGCTGGGTCACGTGCTGTTAACTCTGTTGTCTTCCAAGCTGTTGGTTTATCGTGAGATGATTCCAAAATGGTCCCTTGATAAGGCAGCAAACAATTCTGGACTGATGGCTTTTGAATCTCCAAGGCCTTTGGATGGATAGTACCAACCGTGAGCAAAGGCTGATTTTTCCCAGCTTTCTAAACTTGGGCTTCTCCTGTACTCACTTGGAAAGAGGGTGCAGATTCCAGTTCACTTGTTTTATTATTCGTCACTTGATTAGGCTTTGAAACATTCCCTGTCGCACTCAGGTGTTCTTCAGAAGGCATATTCTTAGCAAAACCCTTCATAATTAATGGTGATTTTAATGACTGGGGCAGTTCTCTGAGGCCAGAATCACTTTTTTTTGTTGTTGTTGAAAACCATCTGCCCCAAGGTTCTGTTGTATTGACTCAGAAAACCCCTAACTATAGGGAAAGGCAGTGAGGCATGCTGGGAATCGAGTTGGTCTTAGCATCTTGAGCCCTGGCTTAGACATGTAGCATCCACGTAATAATCTTGGGCAAGGTCCCGCTGTTAGTCTTAGAACAGAGAATGTGAAAGCTGCAACAGACCTTAGGATATGGACCATCAAGTAGGTCCATCAAGAAGCATTGAGTAAGAGCTTACTATGTGCTAGGCACTCTGCACTAAGGATGAAAAGAAAGGCAAATGAGAGTACCTGCCCTCAAAGAGTTTACAATCTAATGGGGAAGACAATGTACACATAACCACGAACAAACAAATTATATCCAGGAGAAATAGGAAATAATCACCAGAGGGAAGACACTAGAATTAAGGGAGATTGAGAAAGGTTTCCTGCAGAAGGTGGGATTTTAGCTGGGACTTGAAGGAAGCCTGGGAAGCCAGGAGGTAGAGATGAGGGAGGGAGAGCTTTCCAGGCATGGGGGACACAGCCAGGGCCAAAGCATTTTCTAGAGATGGAGTCCATTTCAGAGAGGCTCAGAGCAATTAAGTAACTTGACAACACAGGTCATACAAGTAATGGTGGCAGTATTTGATTCATTGCTCTTTCTGTGTAGTCTCTCCAGGTAGACTCGGCACCTGACAAGCTTGAGGGTCATTTTCCGTTTATAGGCCTCAGTTTTCTCTTCTCTAAAATGAAGGGTTTGGCCTAGATCAGGGGTGGGGAACGTGCAGCCTCGAGGCCACATGTAAAGATTTGTTCTGTGAAGTTTGGTTTCAGTCAAAGGGCCGCACTTCAGGACCTAGAAGGCCACATGTGGCCTAGAGGCTGCATGTTCCTCACCCCTGGCCTAGATCAGTGTTTCCCAAACTCAGTTGGCCCCAAGGCTTAGAATTCTTTATTGGAGCCATAAATACTGCTTGAGGGGGCTGGTGGCATGGAGTACCTCCAGAGTATGGGGGACCAAAGAAAATTAAGGAAATTGAGTCTATTTTCATACTGGAAAAGCACCGAGTATGATAAGTACTTTGTACTGGTATGATTTTGTATTTGATTTCTTTTTAAAGGCAATTGGGGTTAAGTGACTTGCCCAGAGTCACACAGCTAGTAAGTGTTAAGTGTTTGGTCTGAGGCCGGATTTGAACTCAGGTCCTCCTGACTTCAGGGCCCGTGCTCTATCTACTGCGCCACCTAGCTTCCCCCTTGTATTTGATATTTTTAAAAGGAAAATCCTCTTAGTATTGAAAAATTCTTCCTGAGCCCTTTCTCACATGAAAAGGAATCCAGTTTGACAAAATCCAGTTGGACTAGATCATCTCAGAGGTTTGACAGTCCATGCCCCCTTCTGGCTCTGACTTTCTATGTTCTGACTCTTCTGTTATTGTCTATCCTGGTCTGTTCCATTCCACTCTTGGGCCTTCCATGCCCAACCTGAGCCAGTCAACATGGCCCATTGGCCCATTGGCCGCCACGTTCTGGGGCCTCCCCCAGATTCCTTCAGAGCTGGCACTTTGCTGCTCTCATCACCCCTGCCCCTCCCCATCTTCTAAGCCACTTTGAGCAAGGGCCCTCTGAGCCAATTGCCGAATTCAGCCCACTTCCCTTTGCAACAGGCTAGTGTCCACACAACCCACCTCTCGACTAACAAAGACTATGCAACTTCACATGGTGTTTCCTGACAATGCAACTCTGTGCTTGGAGAACTTCCTGATTGCAGTAAGCTGCCCACTTGAGCTGGATTTGAGTTCTTGCTCTACCATGGGGGCAGCATGGTTTAGTAGAAGAGTCTCTGGAATCAGTGGACCTGGCTTCTCATCTCTGACATTTCTTATGTGTGTGACCTTGGATGAGTCACTTCCCTTGTATGGGCCTCAGTTTCTTCCTCTATAAGCTTGGAGGTTGGACTGGATGACCTTTCCTCAAAGCTCTAGATCTAGGATCCTATGCAAAGTCACTTCACTGTGCCTCAGTTTCCTCTTCTATGAAACAAGGGGGTTAGACTAAATTAAGTCTTTTCTAGCTCTAAATTCATGACTATATGTGTGACTTTGGGCAAATCACTTCCCTGCCCTGGGCCTCAGTTTCCTCCTCTGCAAAATGAGGGAATTGGACCAAATTGATGGCCTCTGTGGTGTCCCTTCCAACCGTGGACCTAGGATGACTTACTAGCTATGTGAACTTAACCAAGCCAGCTCTGAAAAAAATCTCCCCATCTGCAAAATGTGGACAGTAACATCTACATTCACCGCCTGGCCAGGTTGTAAGTCCTGTGCAAACTTACAATGTTCTGTTACTAAGAGCGTCATGGTAAACAGTTACCATTGGTAGTTCAATTTAATGAATATTCATTAAACATCTTGGTGCAAGACACTGAGCCCTGTGGAATACTATTGTTCTATAAGAAATGATGAACAGGCTGACTTCAGAAAAACCTGGGAAGACTTATATGGTCTGATGCTGAGTGAAGTGAGCAGAACCAAGAGGACTTTGTAAACAATAACAGCCACGTTATGCAATGACTAAGAATGTTAAACTGAACCCTTCTCAGCATTACGAGGATCTAAGACATCTCCAGAGGCCTCGGAATGGAAAATGCTGTCCACATCCAAAGAAAGAACTATGGAAGTCGAATCGCTATCACTTATTTTTACCTTCTGTTGAGTTTTGTTTCATCTTTCTGATGGTTCCTCCTATTGGTTTTAATTTTTACTTACAACTTCACTCATGTGAAAATATGTTTAATGGGTATGTAAATGTAAAGCCTGTGTCAGGTTGTGCGCTGTCTTGGGGAGGGTGGGGGGGGGAGAAAAAGGGAGAAAAAATTTTCAACTCAAAAGCATATGGAAAAAAAATTTAAAAAAAATAAAAATTAAAAAAAAAAGACACTGAGCCCTGGACCCAGGGGATACCAAGGTAGCTCTGTTACACATGTCCTGCTTTCAAAGAATATGAAGGAAGTGTAGTGGGAGTACAGGAAACCGATCAGTTAATCATTAAAAAGTATTTTTCAAGGTCCCGATGTGCCAGGGCTTGTTCTAGATACAATGATGAAATGTGAAATAGAACAGGCCCTGGCCTCAGGCAGCCTACATTCTGTCTGGGGAAACACTCTCTGTCAGTTCGTTGTAGATTTTCACATATACATACATATATCTGTACAATAGGTATCAAAACAATGATGACTGTAATGGCAGCTGAGTGGGTCACATGCCCAAATAATGATGAAACAAGAAAGAATCAGACAAACACAAAGAAGAGGCCCAAGCATAGGGTCTGAAGGACTATCTAGGGTCTGGGGAGAGAGAGCCAGGGAAGGCTTTGTGGCCTGCTTTGGGCCTTGAAGGAAGGGAGGTGGAGTCATCAACCTAGGGTTGGAAGAGACAGCAGAGCCCATCTAGTCCAAAGTCCTCATTTTACAGATGAGGAAACTGAGGCTCAGATAGGGAAATGACTTGTCCAAAGTCATAAAGGTAGCAAGCGGCAAAGCTCTTACTTCAACACATTGTTAAGCAAAGGCATGAGTATAAAATGAGAAAAATAATAATAATAATAATAATAATAATAATATTCATATAGCACTGTAAGGGTTTCCAAAGCTCTTTACAAACATTATCTCATTTGATCTTCACAACAACCCTAGGAAGTAGGTGCTATAATAATAGCATATATGTAATAATTCTCATTCTTACAGATGAAGAAGCTGAAGAAGATTGGGGTAAAGTGACTTGCCCAGGGTCACATGGCCAGAATCAGGTTATAGGATACCTTGAATGCCCAGCTGAGGAATTCACACTTTGTTCCTTAAGGTGTTGGTGAGCCATGGAAAGTTCTTGAGAAGGACAGTGCTACATTAGGAAGATTCTTGAGGCCACAGATTCAGACCTGATTGGGGGGTGGGTGGTGGTGGAATGAAATTGGGGAGAGTCTGGAGAGGCAGGGAGAAGAGTCAAGAGGCCATCACCATCATATTATAGAGGCATAGATTCAGGGCTGACCTTCTAGTCCATCTTTTTCATGTCACAGATGAGGAAACTGAGGTTAAGTGACTTGCCTGAGGCCACAAAACTCATGGATAATAGAGCCAGGAGTGCCTTGTCTAGGATTGCAAGGCAAGGAGGGAAGTGGAGGCAAGAAGAGATGAGGCTCCATTCCTCTAATTGACCTGCAAGCAGGTCACAGTGTTTTCTGAGCCTCAGTTTACTGATCTGTAAAATGGAGTTAATAATGAAGCAACATAATTGGAACCTCCAATCACGAATACTGAGTAGAATGTCTTAGAAAATGCCCACTCCTCGAATGAACATGCAGTGGGGAATGGAGGCCAGCCCTAGCAGGAGCTCTCACTTTTGTTCCAAGCCCTCGTTTTGAATCTCCTCACCTCTAGTTTCTCTCATATTAATCCTTTTTAGATACTTGTCCGGTCACCAAGAGATTTCTCTCCCAACAAAAGAATATCGTATAGTCCTTTCAACCTATGAACTTATGTAATATGCAAGGAAGCGACAGATTCCTCTAATTGGCGGGTCACTTCATTCTCCGATTCTCGGTTTACTGATCTGAAAAATGGGGTTAATAATGAAGCAACATAATATAATGGGATGAACACCTAATTCGAAGCCAGAAAACCTGCTTTTAAATGATTGCTTTGGGAATTATTATTACCTGGGCGTCCTGGAGCAAGTCACTCGCTTATCTCCGGGTCTCATTTTCAACCTCTGTACAATGACAGAGTTGGACTAAATGGTTTCTAAAGACTCTTTTCCTTTGCCATCCTAGAAGCCCCACTGTGCTCCCTAAGTTACAGTATTGTGAAAAGGAAAACATTTTGCAAACCTTTAAGCACTCCAGAAGCGTTGGTTTATCATTTACATAAATGAGTTAATAAAGACGAAAACATAAGGGCGTGAGGACATAAGTGCCATCTGTGTATGACGTTCCCCCGAGCCTTCACTAGAACACATGGGACTTGGCTAATAGCAAAATACATCTCCATTAGATGGATTTTTTGGCAGGAGAAAACCTGTTTGATCATAAGTAGCTACCCATCACCCCCCGTCCCCGCTCCCTCCCGCCTCCCCCCAAGACCAACTTTGGGTAAGAAAGACATACAGCAAACTTCTAGTCAGTCCAAGAAACATTTATTAAAACACCTACTTAGACAAGTTGGCTGTGCTGTAAATTGAAAATATAAAGATAGAGTTGCCATGCAAAGTGTGTATGCAAACAAGTCTGATAAAAGCTAAGGAATGATGGGGTAAAGAAGAGAAACTAATGTCCTGCTTGAGGGAAATGGGGAGAGGAAGAGCCCATTTGCTTTAGGAATGCATGGAGGTGGAAGGAGTGAGCATAGGGAACACGATTTAGTTTTCTCCAATCGCATCGGCAACTGGCGTCCTGTAAGACCCTTATCTATGTTCTCCCATAAGTTGATGGGGGTTGGAGGTCTACTTCTTGTGCAGAGTAGGAGCATGAGCTCTCTTCTTCGCTTTCTCTTGGCATCATACACAGGCTATTCACTTTTTTTTTTCATCTTTTGCAGTATCATCACCTTTAAAGACTCCTTCTATCAATGCAGATCAGTACCTTCTCTGCAACTAAAAATCTCAGAGACTCACCTAAAGCATAGAGGGGTAAGTGATTTGTACAGGGTCATACAGCCAGCATGTGTCTGAGACAAGATGGGAATCCAGTTTTTCCATGCCTTTGATGTCAGCTCTCTTTCTAGGGTGTAATTCTACAGTTAATCTGATATCTCATGTCCCACAGTGGGGAAGATAAGGCTGCAGAAGATTTAATAAAAATCTCTATCAGGAAATTAGTATAAGTAAATAAAAATGTAAAAAAAATAAAGTCAGGGAGGCTGACTTCACATCTCACCTCTAATGGCCCCTGCCTGCTGTGATCTTGGGAAAATCACGGTGCTGCCTTCTGGGACTCACTTTCCTTATCTATGAAGAAAGAATTGGATTGGTGAATCATTAAGGTTCCCTTCCAGCTCCAGAGAGATGAATAGCTTTCTTTTGGATCATACATTTATTTGATGACATTCTCAATCCCGTTTCTTCTTTGTAATAACTCGTTTGTTCTGTGAGGCGGCCTGCTCCCACCCACCATGCATGGTCCTATGAGTGATGCTAAACTAATCTTTTGGAGATTGTGTTTTGTGCTCCAATGACTCATAGCTAAGCATCAAGAGAGACAGAACATTTGTATTAAAAAAAGATAGGATTCTATGGCCAGAAGTTTGGCATTGTTAAAAGAACTTTAGATTTCCACAAAGGTGATTCATCTCAGTGTCCTGTTTGATTCAAGACTGAACTTGTGGTCCATTTGTAGTGTCTCTCCAAGACATAAAAATACATACTGGGTGGTGAGCATGATAAACTGTTTAAAGGCATGTCATCATCTTGACAACAGGTAGTCTGTAACTACCTGACTTTTCCCATGTGTATACTTAGGCCCAGCCCTTGAGTGCGGATGGATCGTGTCTAGAAGATGCTGCAATGTTCTTAAAATTGATGCTAACCACAAATGGAGCCTGTCAAGGACCTTGCCATCCAGAGGGAGGCCCTCTCCAACTTAGGGCTTCTAGCTGGAGATCTCTGAAGCATCTACGCCTCTCTGGTTTATCCCTTGTTTAATATTAAAAATCAAAGGATCATGAAATAAGGTTTTCTCAGTGTTTCCATCGCTTATGGAAACTGAGATCATTTTGATGTGTGCCTTGAAGGTACCTTGTTGGGAGAGTGATTTGTATACGTCAACAAATAGAAAGCAGATTAGGAGCTTGGATTCTTTATGAATTTCAATCAGTTATGTGATGGTGAAGACGTGGCCCTCTGTTCAAGCACAGATCAGATTGTATCACAGTAGGGGATCAATAAATATTTGTTGAATTTAATTGCTGCGGCTTCTAGTTAGGCATATTGTAATCATGAAATCAAAGAATTATAAAGCTGGACTCTCGTGGGACTTTGAGACTGTTCTCCAGCAGTACAGTTACTGATTGAGCGTTGAACAAAGGTCTCACATTCAGAGCAGCAAGAATCAAGTTAATATTTAGAGATGGTTGAAATACTGTGTGTTTTTTAGCCCCTTCTGTTTCCTTTCCTGACACGTGGCTGCCATCACTAGGGAGGGGATGGGGGTGGGCAGGAGAACTCCAAACACAACCTCAGGGCCAGGCTGGATTGTTCCTTGTTCCATGGGCCACCCTGGCCAAAGACTCCATTGCTGAGTTGCCAATACACTGGGGCTGAACCCTCCATGCTTCCCTAGACTGGGCCTCAGTGGACAGGTACCAGGGGTTCCTGCTGCCACCAGAACCAGACTCAGAACCTTTACAGCTTGATGGAGACTGTCATGGTGTGCTTTCCACTGGTAGAGCCTTAAAGAAGCTAGGGTCACTGCCCCCCATGCCACTAGGAACCCCACCCCCAGTCCCACTCCAGGAGGACCTGGGTATAACCCTGAAGGGGCTGTAGAAGTGGGAGACTTAGGATGATCATTTTCATCCTCTCTCCTTTCTCCCCCAGTCTTTTCTCTGCCTCCCCTGTTCACATCTGCTTCTTGCTTCCTCTCTGCCAGAAGCCTGACTACCAGTGGCCCCTAGAGGTGTAGCTGAGCCAGACAGAAGGGCTCAGGCATTGCACAAGTAGCTGGGCCCTTTTTTAAGGCTTTACTCACCCCCACCCACTTACCTTCTGCCATCAGCCCTTGGGCCTCTGTCCAGCTGACCTGGAGTGGAGTGACTCAGTGGAACTGAGTCCTACCACCTCCAGCCCAGAGCAAGGCAGAGAGTATGGCATAGTGCTATGGTGGCAAACTCTGATAGAGACCAAGGCAGGGTCACCAAGCCATACCTAAGGACACCTGAGGGCCACAGATTGACTGAATTTTACAATGTTATACTATCTATATTTTATTGCATTTTTATTTGTTTTGTTAAATATTTCCTGATGACATTTTACCTTGGTTCAGTCAAGCCCTCTCAGGAGGGTTTTAAGTCTCATGTGGCCTGCAGACTGTGCTTAACACCTCTAGTGAAGTGGCTAGGACACTGAACTTGGAGTCAAGAAGACCTGGGTTAGAATGCCGTCTCAGTCACTTACTAGTTGCATGACCCTGGGCAAATCGTATCACCGCCTTAGGCCTCAGTTTCCTTCTCTGTAAAATGGATCAGGGGCTAAGGTGGGTTGGACTGAATGGCCCCGAGGTCCTCCCAGCTCTAGGATCTTGTGTGTGACCTTGGGCCCAGTGCCTGTCAGAGCTGGCTTTGGGCCTGCTGTTCAGGGGAAAATAGGAACCAGATGGCTTGGAGACAGAGGTGCTTGCTTCTCTTCCCTCCTCCCCACCCTGCTCCTAACAACTTGTGGGGCTGACTGTGGGTTCCGAGGTTTTATAATGGAAAGAACACTGGTGACCTACAGGGCTGCGTCGAGGCTTTGGGAAGCATCGGGCTGGATGGTCTCTGTGCCAGATGTGCCAAGATAACCAGAGGAAATGGAGGCTCCATCCAGGAGCCATTTGTCTGCTAGGGGGAGCGAGGGTCTCAGGGGCAGGGGCAGTGCACAGGATGGGCACCCTTCTCCTTTTCCAATGGCTGAGACCAAATTTGAGACTCGGGTTTAAAACTAATGGGGTGTTAGCTTGATGGCTCATGATGCGTCGGAACACTTATTGTAGTGGTTTTGCCACAAAAAGCGTTTCCAAAGGGGGCTGAAATGTGGCTCAAAGGGCCAGCGCTGGTGGCGGCTGCTCAGGAATCCCAGGCTTCTCCCTCTGGCCCACTTTTTCTCTCCCTCAAAGCAGGTTCGCATTGAAGGGAGGATTGAAAAGCCTGAATTTGTGTTTCCTTCTTTATTGTTCTCCTCTCTGCCCCTCCCCTCCTCCTTTCCTCCCTGCCTTCCTTCACTCACTCAACCTCTTTCATTCATTATGTGTAACGTGAAGCTAATTTGTGCCCCTGGAAATCTGCCCAAAGCCACAGATACAGAATCTGTGTCATTCTTACTGAAACATGGCATGGAATTAGCATTAACCTCAAGTGAAAACAAACCTAAATTAGAAGAAGGAAAGAAAGAAAGAAAGAAGAAGAAAGAAAGAAAGAAAAAGAAAGAGAGAGAGAGAAGAGAGAGAGAGGAGAGAGAAGAGAGAGAGAGACAGAGAGAGAGAGAGAGAGAGGGAGAGACAGAGAGAGAAAAAAAGGAAGGAAGGAAGGAAGGAAGGAAGGAAGGAAGGAAGGAAGGAAAGAAGGAAGGAAAAGAGAGAAAAACAAAGAGGAAGGAAGGAAAAAAGAAAGAGAGAGAAAGAAAGAAAGAAAGAAAGAAAGAAAGAAAGAAAGAAAGTAAGGGAAGGAAGGAAATAAAGGAGAGAAGGAAGAGGAGAGGAGGAGAAGAAGAAGGAGGAAGAAAAGAAAGAAGGGAGAGGAAGGGAGAAAGAGAGGGAAGGAGGAGGTAGGGAAGAAACAAAGAAAGAAAGAAATGTGGGAAGAAAGGAGGGGAGAAATGAAGGAAGAGGGAAAGAAAGAAAGAAAGAAAGAAAGAAAGAAAGAAAGAAAGAAAGAAAGAAAGAAAGAGAGAGAGAAAGAAAGAAAGAAAAAGAGAGAGAGAAAGAGAGAGGGAGAGAGAACGTTATCACTCGCATGAAAGATGCGATATTGTCGATATTGTCGCCTGTCCTTCATTGTCGAAGAGGACCAATGACGTCAGGAAGGTGATGTCTTGACTGGCCAGTGAATCTGATTTAAGTGAGGCAGAACTGTGCAGAGCCATCAGCCTCACTTTCTCCTCCAGAGTTTTCAGAGTCCAGTGGCAAGACGTAGGTGAGGATGACTGGAAATGGCCTCAGATACAGTGGGAGACCTTGACCTTTTTAAGCTAAGGTCTTTCTCAGGTCTCAGTTTGTCTAAGGCAACACCCATTCAGTGATTAAAGGCTAGGTAAGAAATGGCAGCTAGAAAGTGAACCACATATATACTACTTTATTTTTCTTTTTTTCTTTATTGGCTGTGTTTTCTTTTGCAACATGGTGAATATAGAAATGTATTTTGCATTACTTCATCAGTATAATTGATATAAAATGACTTGCCTTCTCATGGATGGGGGAGGTGTCAAAAAGAGGGAAAGAATTTGGAACTCAAATTTGTTTTTAAATGAAGATTAAAATGTTTTTTACATGTAATAAAAATATTTTTAAAATTAAAAAAAAAAGAAATGGCATCTGGGTGGCACAGTGGATAGGGCATTGTCCCTGGAGTCAGGGTGATCTGAGTTCAAATACCAGCATCAGACACTTACTAGCTGTTTGACCCTGGGCAAGCCACTTAACCTCGATTGCCTCTAATTTAAAAAAAAAAACAAAAGAGTTGTAACAAAAGGAAGCAGTTCTAAAGGATGTGATAGTGATTAGAATAAAGTTGGCAGAGGCCATCCATCCCAGAGGTGTAAAACATGTGGCCTATGAGCCACAAATGCCTGTAAAACTCCCTATTTGCAGGAACAAGATTAAAATGTAATTGGGAAACAAAAATGCAACCTAGATAATATGGATTTGTGGTTTCTCAAGTCAATATGTGGCCTGCAGGGAACCATTTCCAGTTGAGTGTGACACCATTGTCTAGAGAGCTCCGGTTTTCTGCTAAGTCCTGCTCCTTGGAGAAGAAAGAAGGCAATCCTTTTGGTTCCTGGGCATGTCTTACTCAGAGAGCAAAGTAAATGAGTTACTTAGCTAGAGTCTGATGAGAAGGGAATCTGTTTCTTCAGTAAGATCTAGAATATGTTTGCCTTTGGGGTGTCTACTCCACAGGGTGTTATGAGTCTTAGGGAGACTATGATTTTTCAAGGACAGGCCCCTTGGTTTACAGGTCTCAGAGAGGAAGATGATGGCTTTGGTTTTCTACTATTTTTCATTCATATCTCAGAACAGTAGTGGAGGCCTAGACAAGCATTGGTTTTCATTGTCATCCTCCCTGCAAGAGCATAACTTCTGAAATAAACTCACTCTAGAACAAAGATAAAATAATATTTACCCAACATTGTTGTTGAGTCATGTCTGACTCTTTGTGACCCCAATTGGGGTTTTCTTGGCAAAGAGACTGGAGTGGTTTGCCATTTCCCTTCTCCAGCTCATTTTACAGATGAGGAAAATGAGGCAGATAAGGTGAAGTGACTTTCCCAGGGACACACAGCTAGGAAATAAGTGTCTGAGGCTGGATTTGAACTCAGGTCTTCCTGATTCCAGGGCCAGCACTCTATCCACTGCAGCACCACCTAGCTGCCCAATATACTTTGTTGTAAACATAACCTCAGATACTATATGTAAAATGAACTAAATTATTTGTGAACATAAAAAATTAGAAATATCCAAAAAACACATTACAGGCACAAACTTGAAGGGCCAGCTTCATTAATCTTTGTGGACTTTGCCATAATGATGATGTCTAATCAAGGGTAGAGCAGGGCTTTTGGAGTCAGGAAAGACTTGATTTTAAATCCTTCCCCTGTAACTTGGGTAGCTAGGTGGTGCTGTAGTGGATAGAGCACTGGGGTTGGAATTAGGAAGACTTGGGTTCAAATTCGGCCTCAGACACTTCCTAGCTGTGTGATCCTGGGCAAGTTAGTCACTTCACCCTGTTTTCCTCAGTTTCCTCATCTGTAAAAAGAGAAGGAAATGGCAAACCACTCCAGTATCTTTGCCAAGAAAACCCCAAATGGGGTCAGGAGGAGTTGGACGTGGCTGAAACAATTCAACAGCAATGCAACCTGCAACTTACTTATTGTGGGATTGTGGGCAGTTTACTTCTGAGCCTCAGTTTCTTCACCTGTAAAAGGAGAATAACAAAACCTGTAATATCTGCCTCCCAGGGTGATTG